GAAATGAAAAGAGGAGCTACCTTCGGTACAGCTGGTTTGGCGCCATCTGCCGGGGAAATTGGGCATAGGAGTAGAAAGGTTAGGGTTGAGGTTACGTTTAAGATGAGGGGTTGAGTTTGGGGAACTGTAGGGTTCGAATAAAGATAAAGGTCTGGTTAAGGTTGATGTTAGAAATAGTATCAGTAAATTTGAGGGAGATGTAGGTGGGTTACCTGTGAGTTCCCTATTTGTACATGCATGTTGTGGTATCAGAAAAATAGTATTTCGGTTTGTTGGCGAGGCCAACGAACGAGTCAATGAGGTAAAACACAGTTAAAAAAAGAGTAGACAGTCAAAAAAAATATACTTGGGATTTTTTAGGAGAAAAAACTGTCGCTCTTGGAGGAGGGAGTATCGCAGAGATGACCGGGATCATCACCAAAGTGCGGAAGCTGGAGCACAAGAATAGTTACCCCTGTCGGAATAATGCGCAGAGCCACCCGTATAACTTGACCGAGAAGTTCCTATCCCTGTTGTCTGTTTAGTGGGCCCCTATAAAGTCATCCATACCGGATATTTTTTTTAAATAGATGTGAGGTCACGGATTGGCCCAGGCAGGTCTAACGGACCGGTATGCTATTTCGCTCACAGGCTGGTGCTTTAAGAGGTTGACACCTGCTACCTGGCTACTCCCAAAATAGTCGGATAGGTCGGCTTAATAGTATAGGGAGCAGCCGCGTTAGATAGCTGGGAAGTTTGGCTTTAATTGCACTAAATAAGCAGTCTAGTTGTGTCTTTTTCGTAGCGCAAGGCACGTGGATAGGAGCCGCATCAGTTGTACAAGTGGTATTCCGCCAAATCCTGGGAAGGGCACTTATTCCCGTGTCTGACTTCCAATGGCCACACCAAACCCAAATCCAAGCTTAATGTGCATGGAGATTAACGCCAGTACGGGTTCCTACCCCCGTGTCCCTTCGCAACTCGTAATACAAAATTACTAACTACGTAGCGTGCTCAAGATTGGACCTTCGCTATTCGGTCCCTGGCGATCGCCAAGAGAATGGATTGAACTGTCCAGATCTGCTGCCACGAATCGTCACGCGTAGGGAAGTACCATCCGGGACATCATAGAGGTCGGCTAGATCAGTTATGATCGCAGCCGTAACAAGTAAGTAAGTAAGTAAGTACTTGAGGGTAGGTGCGTCGGGAGGCGCCCTTAGTATTACTAAGCCGACCATAAACAGGATGCGGAATGAGGTTTGAAGCACATAAAGTGGTGTGCCATCTTTACTGAAACGAGTCTGACACGGTTTTTACGGCATCGCAGGTAGTTTACAGGCATTACTTTCGAGTGAAGTCAACAAAAATTGATTGGGAATAAAGTAAATGGGCTAAATATTTGGAGGCAAACGAAGTGCACTCTATTCTGTGATGAAAGAAACCAGAAATGCTACTCGGAAAACCATAATGCAGCTGTTCTCGAAGTAAGTGGGTGAAAGTTGAACAAAAGCCATTTCTTACAGGAAATATTGCTACAAGCCCGCGTGAAATAAAATAAAGCAAGCGTGTCGACAGTCGGCGCAATAATGAAAAGGCAATTGTATTTTGGAAGCCCTGTACTCTCATGCGTGTTCAAGACCTCTACCTTCTGTGATGGATTTTAAAATGAAGCAACAACCTCAGAACAACTGGACCAAGGGCAACTTGCAAAACCGATCAAAACTTACATCAAGAGCTTCCGTGTCGTGCGTGACGAGGAGTTCAGCGCGGTTGGCAATCTTGTCGTAGTTGCTGCGCAGCAGGTTGACAATGTTGGTGGAGCTGTCGGTGAGAATACCGACAGCGGCACTGGGCAGAAAGGCCGCCAGCTTCTCATAGAGCGGGTAGAGTTTGGCGTCGGTGGCGAAAATGACGCTGATGTCTGTCTCGGTGAGGACCTCGGCTACCTAGCAGTGGTGGTGCAGCAGAAAAACATGGGGAATCAGTGAGAAAACGCAAAAAGTGACCCCCCCGCCCCCCGTCAGGCGAATCTGCACTAAAACCCCTTTCAACAGGAAGACAGAGTCTGTCCATTGGTTCAGCTGCGGGCTATGCGT